GCCTTGGTCACGCTCGCTCGTGGCTGTGTCTCCCCTGAGGTCCTCCGTCATGTCGATTAGCAGGTCTTCGTCCACTTGTCCTCCTGCTCCCCAGGCATCCCGTAGTGCAGTCTGGAGTCCTGCCGTTTGCAAATCATGTGCCCGTTGGAGTTCTTGTAATTGTTGCTGCCTCTGCGCTTCGTTCATATGATGGTTGTGGGCGTAGTGCTGCGCGATGGCCTGCATCTCCTGCTGGCACTGGTGCTGCAGTGTGCTGTGGTACTGATGAGCCGCTTGGTTCTCCATCTCCTGCTGCTGCTGTAGTGCATGGAGTTCGCTTGTGGCTGCTGCTTGTCGCTGCAGTGCCACCTCCTCCATCCTTTGGGCCTTGTCCACCTCCTCCTGGTGCTCGCCGACGCGCTCCAGATACCTTTCCTGCTCGTGCTGCATCTCGTATGCCTTCGCCTGGATGGCTGCGTGCTCCAAGTTCAGGACGACCCGCATCGCTTCGCGCTTGTTGGCTTCTTCCTGATGCTCGTGGGCCATCTGCTGATAGTTCACTGCGATCCGCAGCTCCTCCTCCTTATAAGCGCTGTGGCGGGCGCATCTCTCCTGGTACTCCGCCTCCGCCATCTCCTGCATCGCCTTCTCGTTGTGCTCCTGCGCCATCTTGTACCACTGGGCCTCTTGGGTTGCCATCTCTCTCACAGCTTGCTCCTCCTGCCTGGCCTTCTGGACCTGCTGCGTGTAGATGGCTGCTCTTCTCTGGTCTTCCATGTGCATCTCCTCGCGCAAGGTCTTCTTTTCCATCTCGATATGCATTTGCAGGTCTGCGAGCATCCCTTTGGCCCTTTCCTCCTGTGTCCTCTGGGTGCCTCTTTGTGCTTCGTATGCTTTTGCTTCCTCCTCCTCTAGCTTGGCGTTGTGGTGCCGCTTGAGAGCGTTGACCTCCCATATGTGCCACTTCTCCTGCTTGGCCAACTGCTCTTCGGTCGTGTGGTACATCTTTTGCGCGATGGTCTGCTCGTAGGCCTTCAGTTCGCTTTTGTGCTTGAACTCTGCTTGTGCAAGTAGGTCGCTTTGCTGCTGCTCTTTTTTCTGCTGCGAATCAAGCCTCTCGGTCAATCTCCTGATGGCGTCTTTGATCTCGTCTGATGCTGCTGGGACTGGTCGGGGCTGCTGGGCTGGGGCTGGCTGAGCTGTGGCTGGTTGGGCCATGGCCAGAGCCGCTGGAGCTGCCGCAGGGTCGCGCCTTCTCCTCGCGGCTGGATGTGGCGTGCGTCCTCTGGTGGGATCATGGCTCCCATCTTCCTCGGATGATTCGTCCTTTACTCCCGCCGACTTGGCCATTTGATCTCTGGTTTCCCTCATCAGGGTTTTGTAGACCCTGATGGTTCTGGCTGCCGTCGCCTCCTGGTCCAGCATCTTGCTGAGCCGCTTCTCCATCTCTGCATGCTCCTCCTCCAGCTTTTCCAGCGTGGCCCTGAGCTGCCTCATGCGTTCTTTGTGGGGCAGGACGAAGGAGATGTTCGTGGCGGTGATCGCCGCTTCCTGCTCGAGGCTGGTTGTGCACAAGCCGGCCAGCCTAGCACCTGCGATGTTCTCGGTGAGACGCCCCAGCCTGTGGCATTTGGTCTTGTACCACACGAACCTCATCTCTTCGTCATCTGGAGGTGCGGACCAGCTCTCGTGCTCCATCGCGACGGCGAAGGAGACTGGCGTGATGCTGTCCAGGACTGCCTTCTGCTGGGGGCTGTACTGGTAGCTGCCGATGTGGGCTGCGGCAGGCATGTCGTGCTGGTCCCTTCTTCTGCGCCTGCCGCTTCTCTTTCTGGCTGAGGCGCTCCTCCAGGGCGCTCTGTGCTTCCAGTGCTGGTCGCTGTCGCTTTGCTGCTGGTGCTTGTGGGTCTGTGGCTGCTGCTGCTGCTGCTGGTGGCGCTTGTGGGTCTGTGGCTGCTGCTGCTGCTGCTGACTATGCTGCTGCCACTCCCAGGGCCGCCCACCAATGGCTCCGTAGTCGCCAGTCCAGTCTGCGCTGCGCTGGCGCTGCGCCTGGGCTGTGGACCCTGCTCCTGTCCACCTTTTCCCAGGGCCGCGCTGAGACGCCTCGAGGTGTGTGGTCCCTGCTCCTGACCACCTTTCCCTCGAGGCGCCGCGCTGCTGCTGCTGCTTCCAACTCTTCGCCATGTTGTCGAAGGGCTGTGCTGAGTGATGATCTGCAAGTAGTCTGGAGGCCTCGACTACCTTCAAGAGTGTCCTGGCGTGGCCTCGCGCTATGCGGGCCCTCCTGTGCCAACTTTCTTCCTTCTGCCTGGGCGTCTTTCTTTAGCCTCGGCGTCGCGGCCGCGGCGCTTCTCTTCAGCTTTGCTTCTTTAATGGCGCCGCGGCGCGCTGGCCCGGGCTGACGGGGCTGGCCGAACGAGGGGACGACACGACCCCACGCGGCGGCGGGCCCCTCCTCAGCCCGTGGCTTCCCTCTCCCCCTCCTCCTCCTCCTCCTCTTTGTCTCCCCTTTGGGGGGGCGGCGCGAGAGCGCGGAGTCATTCACGCTTCGCGCTGCGCGGAGCGCGAGAGCGCGAAGTTGGGAGCCCCAGGGACCCTCGGTTTCGCCATCGGGGGCCCATCGCCGATCGGCCTATCGGCGACGCATCGCCGATTCCAGGCCGAGACCCCCTCCTCCTCCTCCTCCTCCTCCTCCTCCCTCCTCCTCCTCCTCCTCCTCCTCCTCCTCCTCCTCCCTCCCTCCCCCCCTCCCCCCTCCCCCTCCCCCTCCCCCCCCCTCCTCCTCCTCCTCCTCCTCCTCCTCCTCCTCCTCCGGAGTCGGCCCCTCCCTGACGCTGCCCCTCGGGAGCCGGGTGAAAAAGGGGCCCCCGGAGGTCTTGCGCCGCCCTCGGGCTCCTGCTGGGGCCCTCCCGCCAGCCCCGGGGGCCGCCAGGCAGCTGCTCTCGGGATGAGGATCCCGTCCGACGTGCCTCCCTTTCATTAACTCTAGGCCTCCCAGGGGTCGAAGGATCGCGCCGCATCGCCGATGCATCGACGATGCGGCTCGATGCGGAGCCCGATTTTCGCCCCGCCGACTGTGCCAATGCACCGCCGACATCGCCAGTGCATCGCCGATGCATCGCCGATGCATCGCCGATGCATCGGCGATGCGGCGCGACCCTTCGACCCCATCTACTCCGACCCCATCTAAGAGACCTCTATTAACGGGCGAAGAATGGTATAACATAATTTTTTTCGCCGTCGGGGGCGCCTGCCCCAGGGCGGCTGGGAAGGTTTACACCCTTACGGTGGCACCGCAGGGGTATCAACTTTCCAGCCGCCCTGGGACGGGCGCCCCCCGACGGCGAAGAAGTTTGTCTTATACCGTTCTTCGCCCGTTAATATTTCAGTCTCCCTCCTCCCCTCCCACTTTTCCTGCACAGCCGAGCGCGCATCCTTCACACACTGAGGCCGGGGCTCTTCTCAAAGCCGCCCGGGGCGCAGGCGGAGCAGCCTGTGGAGGGCAGATCCTGGGGAAGTGGCCTGCCTGAGGGAAAGACGTGTGTACCCGCCGCTCCCTCCTCCTCCTCCTCCTCCTCCGCCTCCTGCGCCTCCTGCGCCTCCTCCTCCTCCACATTCTCGCTCTCCCCTCCTCCTTCTCCTCCTCCTCCTCCTCCTCCTCCTCCTCCACATTCTCGCTCTCCCCTCCTCCTTCTCCTCCTCCTCCTCCTCCTCCTCCTCCTCCTCCTCCTCCTCCTCCTCCATTGTCGCCCCCGAACCCCATGCGTGCTCGCCTGAGGCAGTCTCTGCTCGATCGCCCCTGCCAGAGAGAAGAGGGCAAACCCGCCAGCTGCAGTCCCTGCCCGGCCCGCGCAGCATGATCAGGCGCCCACCGGATCATTCAGATTCTCGAGGCTCCGTGTGCTCGCGCGTTGCTAATTCGATCGGCCCGTGGCCCGGACCTTTCAACTCGGCGCCTGCGCTTTCGCTTGCGCCCGCGAGGAAAAGTATCCCCGCCAGCCCATCCGCAGACGATGCCCGGGCGAGTTGCTTTGATCAGGGAGGTGTGAGAGCGAGCAGCGGAGTGGAAGAGAGGGGCGGGGGGCAGCCGTCAAGCCCTTGCTCGGGATCTGCCCGATCAGACCCACGAGTCAGCCATACATGCCTTTTCTCAAGGGCAGAAAAAAAACGCCCCTACCCTGGTTTACGGGGCGCTGTGCGCTCAAACTTGTAACCCAGGGTAGGGTCGTTTTTTCATCCCTCAATTTTCGGACCTTTCCATGCGCTTCGCAGCCTACCTGGGCCATCCGGGGGCCATCCTGGGGCAGTTGCCGATGCCTCTCGGGGCTCCATTGGGGCCCTCCTTGGGGCCCTCTCGAGGCTTTCTTTGGGGCCGTCTCGGGGCCAGATCGAGTCTGGCAGACGTGCCTTCGTCGGTCTAGTTTTGCGAGGCCGCGGGCCCGAGCCGCGTCGCAGCTGGCGCCCCTTCTTTCCCGCGCCAGGCGGCCCCAACGTTGTGAGTGATGGGGTGCTCGGGCTGTGAAGTCAGCGCTTTGCCCTTGGAAGGGCAACTGGCCCCCTACTCTGCGCTTTCGGACGAAGGTCTCAGAGCAAGCTTGCTCCAGCACGCTGCATGTTCCCCCAGCATCAGGTCCCCGTACGCTGGGGCCTGGCGCCTGTTTGCTTTTTCTTCCAGGGAGAGGGGGGGCAGAGAGGGAGGGACGAGGGAGGGAGTGTGGGTGGGAGGGGGGAGGGACGGAGGGATAGAGATAGAGATAAAGAGAGAGAGAGAGAGATATAGAAAGGGAGAGAGAAGGAAAGAGAGAGAGAGAGAGAGAAGCGGAGACCGCACCGGCTCGGACGGCAGGTCGTCCGGGCCCCCGTGCCACATGTGCACGGCAGGCCTGCGGCCGCTCTCCGCTCGAGCAGGCCCGGGTGAGCGCCCCCATGCCCGCGCCAGGCGGGGGGCCCCCCCCCTTGCCTGGCCGCCGCCCCGCAGCGCAGCGCCGCGCGCGCTGGCGCGGGCCCGCGCAGCAGAGGGGGCGGCAGCGCTTCGCACCCTGGCGCGCGGGGCGCGTCCCGCTTTTCTGCTCTGCTGCTCGTCTTGCTGCGCGCGGCTGCCATGGCCGCGCCGGGCTGGCTTCGTCCCCCCCGGAAGGGCGCCGCCCTGGCAGAGGCCGCGGCGCCCTGGAAGGGGTCGCGGCGACCGCCGGCCTCGAGAAGCTCGCGGCCCTCGCCTGCCCGCCCGCTGCCGAGCGGGCGGCCGAGGCTGGCTCCTGCGCCGCTCGCGTCGGCGCCTTCGCCCACGCGGCCCGGCGGGCCGCGCCCGCTCGGCCGGCGCCCCGGCCCGCGCCGCCGCCGGCGGAGCCCGCGGCCGCCAGCGCGCGCCACTGCTGGCGCGGTCGCGGGCGCGGCGCGGGGCTTCCGAGGAGGAGGGTCGGCGGGCCGGGCGCGGTGCCGTCGTGGAAGTGGCGTGCCTGGCCGCCGCTCTGCGCGCGGACCCCGGCGACCGTCAGAGCGGGCTTGGCGCCGGCGCTGACGGGCCGGCAAGTTGCCTTTTGAGCCGCACTCGCCTGGTGGCTTGGGCTGGTGCGGTATATGGAACTCACGGCGAGGGCTCTCTGGAACTATTGCAGCGCGCGCGCGGAGTCAGGAGTAGGAGGAGGAGGAGGAGGAGGAAGAGGAGGAGGAGGAGGAGGAGGACGCCAATCTGTCCCGACCTGGATTGGATTGGGTTGTGCCCGATCTCGCAGGGGGCGGGAACGGATGCGGGGCGCGTGGCGTCTGGGCTCGCCTTGAGCACGAGTGCTCTCGAGCCGGGACTGGGGAGAGAGGGAGAGAGGGGATAGAGAGGGACATACATATAGATAGACAGACAGACATACCGATATATAGCTAACGTGTATATATATATATACATCGATATAAGCATGTATACATTTCGGAGTATATATAGACATATCGAGAGAGGGAGATATTGAAGACACAGAGAGGGCGATATAAACATATCTATATAGACATAAATCTATATACACATACATTTGTAGCGTATACACATGTAGGGAGATAGAGTGAGAGAGAGAGGGAGAGAAAGAGAGAGAGAGAGAGGGAGAGACAGAGAAAGAGAGATATATAAACATAAGATTTCTGAATCTATATATATATATAGAGAGAGAGAGAGAGAGAGAGAGAGAGAGACAGAGAGAGAGAGAGAGAGAGAGAAAGAGAGAAACAAAGAGCGAGAGAGAGAGAGAGAGATAACGAGAGACAGAAAGAGAGAGAGAAAGAGAGAGAGAGAGAGACAGAGACACTCACACGCAGATTTTCAGGAAGGTCTGCTCACCCCCGTCCCCAAAGGAGCCTGGAGCCTGAAGAGAGGGCGGGGGATAGAGAAACAAGGCTGGCTCCCTCCCGAATGGGCTCGGGACCCACGCTCCATGCCCCATTCCTGCATTTCGGTTTTCTTGATTCATTGGCTGACGCCGCACCGCTGACCCCTTGGAGCGGCAGTAAGAGTGAAAAACGGAGATTGCGGAACGATTCAGCTTCTTGGGATTTCGTCGGGGGCGGTGGGCGGATCGCGGCTCTGCTTTTGGGCTTCTCTGGGCTCTCCTGGCCGCACTTTGAGGCCTCTGGGAGTCTCTTTTGGGCCTCTCGGGGGCCTCGTGGGAGCCTCTTGGGGGCCTAGTGGCGCCTCCTGAGGTTTTTTCGGGGCCGAGTGCTCGAAATGTTCAATCGGGTTCCCCCTCTGGGCCTCCTCTTGGGGCCGTCCGTCGTTTTGGAAGCTTCTGGGGCCGTCTTGGGGCCCTCTTGGGCCGTCTTGGAGCCCTCTTGGGGACTTAATGGGCTATCTTGGGTCGATCTTAAAGGCTTCTTGGGCCGTTGTGGGCCTCGTGAAATCCCAAGAGGCGAATGTGCTAAAATTGCACGTTTTCCTTTAGGGAATGGACGATTTTTCCTTCTGGAGGGCCTCTTGGGACGCCTCTTGGTGGCTTCTTGGGGCGTCTTGGGGGCCTCTGGGACCGTCTGGAGGCAATCTTGAGCGTCTTGGAGCGATGTTTCGGCGGCTCGTAGCCCTCTTGGACCGTCCGGGGGGCCTTTCGGGGCCCTCTTGGCCTGTTTTGGGGCCCCGGGCCCCCTGAGGCTCCAAGGGTGTGGCCGGCACCTTTGCCCCTCCCCCCCCCCTCCAAACTGACCGGACTGGGCTCCCGGGGGAGGGGTTTGGGGAGGGGGAAGCATCTCACACGCCGTGGCCCCAAGGGGTCGGCGGATTTCGTTGCAGGGGGGGGAAGCGAACAATGGTTAAATCGGATGATGGTGTTGATGCCTAGACGATGGCGGAGCGACGCTCTCGTCTGCGCCAGGATCGTCCTGTGAGTGTGGTGCATAATGGTGTCGATGATGATTGTGATGATGATGCAGATGATGCTGATGATGATGGTGATGGTACAGATGATGATCATTGTGATGATGATGCTGATGATGACGATGATCATGATGAGGGTGGCGACGACGACGATGATGATGGTGGTGATGATGATGGTGATGATGAGGATGATTGTGATGAGCATGATGATGATCATGATGAAGGTGACGACGACAACGACGACGATGATGCTGATGCTGATGCTGCTGAAGATGATTGTCATGAGGATGATGACGATTGCGACGACGACGATGATTATGATTATGATGATAATGCTGCTGATGATAATGATGAAGAAGCATAATCGGATGACGCTGCTGCGGATGCTGAGGATGATGATGATGATGGTAATGATGATGATGCTGATGATGATGATGCTGATGCTGATGCTGCTGCTGATGATGACCACGATTATGTTGATGATGGCGATGGCGATGATGATGATGATGATGATGATGCTGATGCTTATGCTGCTGCTGATGATAATGCTGATGATGATGAGGTGGTGATGGTGGTGGTGGTGATGGTGGAGGTGGTGGTGCTGATGATGATGATACTGATGCTGATGATGATGATGCCGATGATGATGATGATGATGATGATGATGATGATGATGATGATGATGATGATGATGATGATGATGATGATGATGATGATGATGATGATGAGGTTGGTGGTGTTGGTGGTGGTGATGATGATGATGATGATGATTATGATGATGATGATGATGCTGATGATGATGATGATGATGATGATGATGATGATGATGATGATGATGATGATGATGATGATGATGATGATGCAGATGTTGATGATGATGGTGATGCTGATGACGACGATGACGGCGATGATGGTGATGCGCGTGATGGTGACGCTGAGAAGGTTATTCTGACTTAGATTGATGGTGATCTTGGGAATGCGATTATGAGGGGGATTGGAGTGTGGAGAGACGGGGAGGAGAAGGATGGGGAGGGGAGGGGGAGGACGAGGAGGAGGAGGAGGAGGAGGAGGAGGAGGAGGAGGAGGAGGAGGAGGAGGAGGAGGAGGAGGAGGAGGAGGAGGAGGAGGAGGAGGAGGGAGGAGGAGGAGGAGGAGGAGGAGGATGAGGATGATGAGGAGGAGGAGGGGGAGGAGGAGGAGGAGGCGGAGGAGGAGGAGGAGGAGGAGGAGGAGGAGGAGGAGGAGGAGGAGGAGGAGGAGGAGGAGGAAAAGGAGGAGTATCCCCTGTGCGGCCCCCGTACGCTCCCAGTTCCAGCTCTTGCGCTTCCTCTGCGGCCTCTCTCCCGCTCCCCGCCCCGCCCCCCCCAGAATCTCCCAGGAGGGCCCTTCTGCTCTCCTGGACAGCATCCCCCCTCTCCGCACCGCCCCCTGGGCACGCCGTCCGGCCCTGCAGCCTCCACGGCCCGCCCCTCCCTCGCTGCAGCGCCCCGCCAGCCGCCAGCTCGCCACCTCTCGTCCCCCCCCCACTCCCCCTCGAGAGCGAGGCAGAAGTACGTGTGCATGAGCTCTCGTGGGTTTCGAGAGTGTGCGCTGCGCGAGCGTTTTTCTCTCGACGCCAGGCCTCGCGGACTGAGGCGCCGTATTCATGTACACCGCTGGGCGCGTACGTCATTTCTCGGATCCCCCCCCCCCGCGCGCAGCCTCAGGGTGCCCATCCCCTCCCTTGCAGGAGAGGCGCCGCGTCGAGCTGAAGGCCGCTCGGCCGAGGGGCTCGAGGGAAGAGAGCGGGGAGGAGGGCGAGCGCTGCTCGAGAAGTTCGAGGAGGACGAGCGGTTCGACCGGCGGCTCGAAAGGGGGGGGCGAGGGGGGTTCGAGGCGGCAGCGGGAGGGGTTCGAGGGGGGAGGCCGCCTTCATCCCAGAGCACGCTGCCTTTGTGGAGAGTGCCCGCCATCTGCAGCAAACTTGGCTCGTGCAGTTGTCCTTCCCGAGGAGGGATGGAGCCTCTTACAGGAGAATCCGAGAAGGCAAGTCGAACGAGGAGGCTAGGGGGGGATGAACAGGTGGAGGGGCCCAGGGGCGGGGGGGTGGGACGAGGAGTGACATGAACTTGAGGAAGGACGAGTTTTGATGCAGTTGCGGTAGTCGTTGGGAGAGGTGGGGAGGGGAATCGGGCGTTTCGTGATGGGGGGGCAATGAGCGGTGGGGGGTGGGGGATGCAGAAAAATACACCATTCTTGCAACCCTCGATCCCCGCCTCGTGTTATCGCCCTCCATCACCGAGGAGGAGGTGAATGAGGAGGAGGAGGAGGAGGAGGACCTGTGAAAATGCAAGACTCCTCAACGATGTCAGAGGGAATTGCCCCGCTGGGGGACGAACGTGTGAAAATCCTGAAGCGTGCCAGAGCACCATTCTCAGGACTTCGACGCAACGAGTTAACCTGCCTGTTGCGTCTTGGCGATCCTGAATCGAAAACACCACTCCTGGGACTTCAACGCAGCGAATCAGCGTAACTGTTGCGCCCTGACAATCCAGAAGCGCTCCAGAACGCAATTTCTCGTACGTTAACCATGCGAACCAGTGAATTTTGTGCAACGGTTCAAACGAATGTGCGCGGTGCTAGGGCGAGAACAACTTTTCGAAAACGAGCCGCCTTACATCGGTGAAGCTTTTC